CCTCTACTCCCCTCCTCTCCTCCTCCTCTCCCCTCTTCCCTTCCCCCCCTCCCTCGTCCCGCCTCTCCTTCCCTCCTCTCCCCTGTCCTCCACGCCTCTCCCCTTTCATCCCCTTGTCTTCCCTGTTCTAGTCGTTTCAAAGGTACCTCTCCTCTTGTTTGATATTCTCATAGGAAAGGAGTACACCCAGAACCCCCCCCTTTCTGGCCCCCCCCCCCCTCCCCTGACAAATAAAAAGCCTCATCATATTTCAAATTTACATGGAGAGAAAGGAAATAAAGAGCATCAGCCAATACCCAGAAAAAAAGTGGAAACAGGAGCATCACCCAATAACCAAACCTGAATTGCAAATTGTCGTTTTGTGGTCGTTTTTTTTCAATTCCCTTTTCCTTACACCCTTGTGATCTTCCGCGCTCACCCTCGCGGTGAGCGTCATCATCGTAATCCTCCTCCTCCTCCTCCTCCTCCTCCTCTATCATCATCAGGAGTTGGATTATGATCGCCGTCGTCATCGTCGTGAGCATTCTTGTCATCGTCATGGTTATCGTCATTATCATCATCAGCGTGTCATCATTGTCTTCTCCTTGATAATGTGAAAGAGGATATGAAAAGGAAAAGGAGAAAGAGGATGAGGGCAATAGGAGGAAGAGTACGAGGGCAATAGGAGGAATAGGAAGAGAGGACTAGGAGGACTAGCAGGAATAGGAAGAGAGGACTAGGAGGACTAATAGGAAGAGGACTAGGAGGAATAGGATTAGGAAGAAGGAATAGGAGGAATATGATTAGAAAGAATAGCAATAGGAGGAATAGGATTAGGAAGAATAGCAATAGGAGGAATAGGAATAGGAATAGGAAGAAGGGAAAAGGAGGAATAGGAATAGGAAGAAGGGAAAACGAGGAATAGGAGGAATAGGAATAGGAATAGGAATACGGGAACAGGAGGAATAGGAGGAATCGGAGGAATAGGAGGAATAGGAGGAATAGGAATAGGAAGAAGGAAAAGGAGGTATAGGAAGAAGGAAAAGGAGGAATAGGAAGAAAGGAACAGGAGTACCCTGGAGCGTAGCTCAGTGGGTACACACATGAACTGTTGAAATACAGACCGGAGTTCGAATCCGGATGATGATGGAACATGATTGACGAGTAAAACCAGATATTTCTGAATCGCCTGGGGCCTGTCAGCTCAATGATGATGTCTCAAGGGACCCTTAAAAAAGAAAAAAAAAAAAAAAGGAAAGGAACAGGAGGAACAGGTAGAGGGGAAGGATCATGATGAGGAGGAGGCGGACGTATCGTGAGGATAGTAGAATATGTAAAAAGGGAGGATGGGGAGTATGATGAGGAGGAGAAGG